CCCGCCCCGCCCCTTGCCAGGCGGCAGCCAATGGGCGCGCGGGGCGGGGTCGCGCGGGGCGGGGCGTGCGCCGGAAGTGGCGGAAGCGGCGGCGCGTGCGGGAGCGGCCGGGCCGGGCCGGGCGGTGAGTGCGGAGCGCGGGGATCGGGGAGCGCGGGGATCGGGGAGCGCGGACCCGCCCCGGCCTCTCCCTGCCCCGCAGCCCCGGAGTGGGAGGCCGGGCGGCGGCTCGGGCCGGCCCGCAGCGGGCGGCAGCAGCGGCCAGGCCCGGAGCGCTCCCGTGCCGGGGCCCGGGCGTGCGGAGGGGCCGCCCCGCTCTCCGTTGCCCTCCGGGCCGCTCCCCGGTCGGCTGCGGGGCTCCTCCCAGCCGCGGAGTTTTGTGGAGAGCGTGAAGAACCTCGTGGGAGCCGTCGGGATTTCGGGAAGGGCCGGTGGGGACACTCGCGGGGCTCCGGGTCCGTGCGGGCGGTGCGGAGGCTGTGCGGGGAAAGTTGATTCCATATGGGAAGCGTCTGGGCCACTGTTTGGGTTCAGTGGTAGTTGAAATCTCTTCAAAAAGGATATTAAAATTATATCAGGAAAGATGGAGAGTTTCCAGGGAAAGGTGTGCAGCAGCTGGGGAAGGGCTCAGCTGGAGAAAAGGGGGCTCAGGGGGACCCTGCGGCTCTGACAGGAGGGACAGCCCTGGCTCCGGACCTTGTGCCGCGTCGTGTTCGCTCAAGGTGAGAGGAAATGGCCTCGAGTGGTGCCAAGGTGGGTTCAGGTTGGGAATTAGTGACAATCGTTTCCCTGCCAGAGCCTTGGAGTGAATTGCTCGTGTCTGAAAGTGCTCAGGAGGCACCTGGGGATGTGTTTTGGGGGTTGTGGTGCTGCTGCTGCTGGGTCTGGATGGCCTCGAAGGTCTCTTTCAATCCCGATGATCCTGTGAGAGTGGCGCAAGGAGAAACTGGCTGCACATAAAGAAATGACTCTGGTGCCCAGGAGTGAGCAGGTGAGGAGGGGTGCTCCTGGTGGATGCACCTGGCTGTGCTGGCTCTGTCTCCCGAGGCTGTCGCGCGTGTCTGGGCTGTGCTGGGTCCCTGGTGCCACAGCAGATGGTCCGTGGGCAGCACGGGGAGCTTTGGGCACGCCGCTTTGGGCAGCCGTGGGCTGCAGCTCTCCCACAGCCCTGGACTCATATAAGCACATGCATCCATTTATTTGGCTCCCTGAGCATTTATATCGAGCTTCTCTAGTTTATGTGCTTCTTACTCTTTTATTCTCCTCATATTTTGGTGCTGTGTGCTGTTCCCAGTGGCATCAGTTCCTGCTGGGTGGAGATGTTTTTGTTCTTTAGTGCCTTGTGTTTGTTACACAAACATTAATCCTTGGGAATGCTTCTCGTTAGTCTACACCATCCCCACCTCCCCTGTACCTGTATTAATTAGCCATTGCGTTTTCCCATATTTTCCTGCAGAAAGTTGCAGCAGAGCCGTGGGATGGTGGGAAAGCATGGAGGTGACCCGGGGTAGGAGCTTGTCCCTCCAACTTGTGTTCCTTCTCACTCCAGCCATACTCCTCCCTGTGCTGGAAGCCAAGGGCTTGGGCTCTCTGTTTCTTCAAGGCTTATTTGAGGAATTTTGAGGATCCAGTTAAAAAGGCCCTTGAGCCGAGTTGTTGAAAGCTGTGTGGGAGCTGAGGTCAGGTTTCTGTGTTGAAGGTCATGTGTTTGGAGCTGTGGCAGGGGTGAGGCTCATTGCAAAGATCAGGTGTTGCCACTGAGCTATTCTGTATACCTTCCAAAGATGGTGTGAGATTTCTCCCTTAATCCCCAACTTTTCTGCTGACATTATTCCAGTTCCAGCATGTCCACGCTGTCCAGCTGCTCCACTCTCAGCCAGCAGTTCCTCACACTGGTCCTGGCTTTCCACGAGGCTCTCTTGCCCATCAGTCCAAGCTTTTGTCCTGGGATTTTCTGATGATCCTGACTGCTGACTCTAGTAGAGTTTTTTTTGTGTCTTCCCCTTTTTTTCCCCCTCTTTTTTTTTTTTTTTTTGTTTTATTCTTCCCTAGTAGCTCTGTGTAGTTAGTCCTGCATCCCTTTGCCCATCAGCTTTCTTCTCCTAGCTTTTCAAAAAGACGTTTCTGAAAATAGGAGCTGTTGAGCCTTGTTCTGGGGTGGCACTGGCTGGATGTTGCTCTCCAGGAGTGCTGAGGGAGTCTGGAAGGACACAAGGGGATGGGACTGAGCCACCTGCCCTGCACCCCCTGGAGCATGAGCAGCTCAGCCCCTGGAAATCCCAGGGTCAGAATTCCTAGCTGTGTGTGCAGAGGGAGGGTGGTTTGGCAGAACCCTGTGAGCATGCTGAAAGCATTCCATGGAATATTTAATAATTTGGCGTGGTGGGCGTGGCAGGTTCTGCTGTTGGGAAGCACCGAGGGCTGTGTTAGGTCACTGCTGGTGACACATTCGTGCACACACGTGCTGGTAAGGAGTTTTTTCCTTTGTTTTGGGTTACAGCGTCGAGTGAAGAGCACAGCTCATACAGGACTTGGTCAAATCCCCCTGTTTTTGCTGCTGGGGCTGTATTTTTATGAAAACCCTGCAGGCCGGTGTCCCTGACTGGGGTTGCTGACTGCTGCATTCTCGGGTGCAAAGGACAAGGGGCTCTTTGTGCCCCTTGGATTTATACAGCCCTGCTAGAATAATTAGCTGCCTGAAATTAATATATTTCTTTCAAATACGAGCTCCCAGAGTGAAGGAAAGCGAGCAGTGTGCCTCTTACCATCAAGGATTACCAGGAATTAATCTTTCAGTGCAAAGGCCACTAATCTCGGGCATGCAAACAGGGTTTACTGAGCTGCGTGCCAGTGCTTAGAGCAGTGATGGATGAAATCCCTGGCAAATTCAGATGCTCTGGCTGTTAATTGCCTCCCCACCTGCTCATCCACCTCCTTCCCTTGCATCCTGGAATCTGCCTATGGGTGTCAGTCACAGGAGATGGATGGTGACATGTGGAGCTGCTGGGTGCCAGCCTGGGCTCTCACCCTGGGCTGTCCTGCCTGCCCCAGGGCTCTTCTGCTCCCACTGGGTCCCAGCTTTCCTCTTGTGCTGGGAGCTGGGTGAGGGAGCTGAGCCTGGCACTTGGATTTTCAGACACAAAGCCAAGCTGGGAGCGGTGGGAGAAGTGGCTGAACTCCTGCCCTGCCATGAGCATCTTGCCATGTTCCTCGTGCAGTTTGCAGGTAACACGGGGTGAGGGGGGGTGCTGGGGCTCCCTGCACGGCTCCTGCTGCCCTGCAGGATTATCTGGAGCTGACAGAAGTCACTGTCAACATCGTGCTGCTCTCATCAGAGTGCCTGGCCAGCTCCTGGCTCAGACTGGTGTTTGGGGAGCTCCACCAGTGATGATTAACCCAGCAGTGTGGCAGAGGAGCATGCACGAGCCCAGCAGTAGTTTTTGAACCTGGGAATTGGTTTCCAAAAGGAAATGATTAAGGTCGAAATGTAACTTCAAAGCTTTGGTATCCCCCCCTGCTCTCCCTGCCCTGCTGGTCCCTTTTTCTCTTGAGTTCTAATCGATTGCTGCAGATGTACTTTGGTGTCTTCTCAAGATCATTTGTTGAGGGTTTAAAAGCAGCACTGTGTAATCAATGGCACAGTGTATCCCAGAATCCAGTTTATTCCCAAAATCGCAGGCAGCCTGCACAGACTGAGCACTGCTTATTGCCTATATTTGCCAATGTTGGCAAAAGGTAAATCCATATTTATAGTAAAGCCTGTGTCAGCCCATTTCTGGAGTTCCCCTGATGCTCAGTAAGAGAAGTCTAATATGTGTTCAGAGGAGCCCAGGGACCCTAAAATGTCCCCTGAGGGGTTCACAGGGACCTGGGGCACCCCAAAGTGTGACCCAGAGTAGCTGAGAGGCTTCCAGGACACCCCAAAATACGACCAGACAAGCACCAGCCTGCACAGGCTTGCTGAGCGGATCACTGAAAGGCTTTGAGGTGTGTGACAGTGTCACAGTACCTGGTAACAGCTGTAATTTGAGTTTTGGGGCAGAGGTTTACGTTCCTGCTGTTTATTAAGTGTTGGATGGCAGGAGAGCTGTTGCAGTGCCTGCAGAGTGAGGCTGCACTTGGAGCTTGTGGCTCCAGAGCAGTGCCAGGCTCGTGGCAGAGCTCATGCCACCACGTCACTGAATGTTCTGAGCCCAGCAGGGAACATTTTGCCCAAACCCTGAGGTGGCAGTCCTGTGGGTGCTGTGTTGTTCCTGAGTGGTCCCAGGAGTGTTGCACAATCCCGTGTTTTGGTTGTGATTCCCAGTGTTTCCAGCTCTTGCTAATGGGAGTGATCTTAAAGCAGGCTTTTAGCTCACCTCAGGGACTTCTTGGGGGTTTATTTTCCCCCTGGTCATTCAGGCAAATGGTCTGGCTGTGTTAGCAGGATTGGGAAACCAAGTCCTGTCCTGGCTCTGGCACTGGACCCGCTGAGGATGGATATTTGCCTTGATTGATGTCTGGAACATTGAGATCTTCGCTGTCCCCCAGCCCCTTTCCGAAGCTGTGCTGGGGAGGCTGCAGCCGGATTTAGCCCCAGCTCAGACCTGGAGTGATCCCAGCGCAGGGGCTGTGCACCGTCAGTGCTGCTCAGGCCACTGGGAAGCTGTGCACTCTTCCCATCAGGCATCTATTTCCAGAGGGGAAAAACTCCCACAAGGACCTGCTGTGCTGTGGGAGAGGCTTTGCTCAGAGTCGCCTTCTGCTCATCTCTCAGCATCCCCCCTTCTTTCCCTGATCTGTTTTTCTGCTGAGGAATCTTCCAGCCCAAGTTTTTATTTTTAAATGTTTAGTCACTGCATTATGGCAGTGCCTCATGTCTCATTTTTAAAGGTGGACTCCTCTGAAAATCCCTGGAGATGGGAGCAGGGGGAGATGAAGGGCACACAGGTTCCTGTGCCACTTGGGCTCTGGCAGTGCTGACACCAGCTCTGACACTTGCTGGAAACCCAGATTTTCTCCTCCCCCGCTTACCTTCTGTGGAGCATTTCCCAGCAAATGCAGAAATGTGATTTTGGCCTTTCCAGGCTGGCTCACTACAGGAATTCTGAGCAAACCCCTGTGGTTTGCTCCTGTGCTGGTTCCTTTGCTCCTGAGCAGAGCAGCTTGGAATGGCCAAGGACACCTCGTTCTGGTTGGCACAGAGGACAGGGAGATGCTCCTGTTTGTGCCTCCTGGCTGTACTGGCTGAGCCTGTCAGCTTTTATCCTGCTCAGAGCCCAGGAGAGAGGATTTTCTGCAGCTTCAGCTTTCTGCTGAGCCCTTCTCTGTACCCAGTGGGGTGTGGCTGGAGCTGTGGCTGCTCGCTGAGGTGGCAGGAGAGGCAGACAGGTCTGGACGTTGGCTGCTGTCCATGGCATTTATCCTGTGTAGGGTGGCAGATCTGACATAATGAGGGGTTTCTTACTCCTGAGCGTGCTGGGAATCTTCTCTCTGGCTTGCTTTAATTTTTGGAGCAAACTGTGCTGCTGGAGAGCAGCAAGCAAGGTCCTTTTGTTATGGCTTCCATCCCCCACTTTCCCTGCTGCCCTTTGCTCTCCTGGGACATTTGCTCTTTCTCCATCCTGCAGAAGTGAGAGCAAAGCTTTCCCAAGGGGTTTTCAGCTCCACGTTTGTGGTTAGGTCCTGGTGGATGGTAGCTGCTCGTGTTTTGGGGAGCCCTGAGGACAAGGCTCCTGCTCCAGGTCCCAGGGGTGCCTCCACCCAGAGCCCTCCTTGACTGCTGCTTTGTTTCTGGCTGTCAGCTGGCCCTGGGGACACGCTGGGACATTGGAGCATCCCAGCTCAAACTGGGGCTGGAGATCCTTGGGGTGGGTGGCTGCCCGTGTTCCCCAGTGGCTGGAGCAGTGTCCATTGGCATCCAGGTGCTGCTCAGTGCCAGCTGTGTGCCCAGGCACAGCAGGGTGTCTGTCCATCCTCACTGGTGTCACCAGCGTCCTGCTGCTTCTCTCCATCCTTGCCTCTTCCCAACTGTGGGAAAATCCTTGTTCAAGTTCAATTTTGCCTTTTCTACCACATGGGTGACACCAATGTAAGCTTAGAGCTGCTTCTTTTCCTTTCTCCTCCTGTCTTCCCTGTGCACAACATCTCTATTTTTAACCTGCTGCATTCAGATTTGTTTTCCTGAGCCCTCATGACCTCCATGATATTTTGACTTTGGAATATTTACACCCCAGCATTGTAGGCATCCTGCATGGCCGGGCGTGACTATTGTTGTTGCCAGCTGAATAGTCCTTGTTTTTTTGGCTGCTTCTCGAGTTCTCCCCTTTCAGTGGCTCCGACAGGAGCCCTCCAGGCTCCCTGTGCCCACTTGGCTATTTACAGCCAGAGCCAGCAGCCATGTTTAAGTTCTTGGAAATGGAATGCTGTGGAACAGAAATCACCACGGGTTTGGTACAAATTCCTCAGCCCATCAGTGCCCTGGGATGGGATAATTGTCATTGTTGTTTCTCTCATAGTTCTGCCGATTCCCCTGGGAACACAGATCACTTTAGAAATGTGGTTATTTTTATCACTGTATATGGCTCCACAAAAAGGATTTGTTTGTTTCTATTTTTTTTCCCTGTATTGGCTGTTCAGGGTGAATTTGCTGAAACAGAGATAAATCAAACTTGATTTTTCAATGCTCCTTCAGTCTTGCATCCCTGCAAGTGCTGACTGTGACAGAAGGTGGAGTGAGGAGCTCAGTGGCCACTTCAGGGCACTGGACCCATCTCTTCAGCTCATGGGAGACCTTCTTGCTCTCCACAGCTCCCTGACAGGAGGGTGCAGTGGGGGTGTCTGGAGCTCCCCTTTTTTGGGATGTGCATCCCAGAGCCCCTTCCACAGCCATGAGCAGGGGCAGCTCTGTGGCAGACTCCTCGAACAAAAACTCCAACAGCATCTTCTCGTTTTGAAGCTGTTGTCAGTTGTGCCTTGTTTTTTTGGTGGTAAATCACTCCAGGTGAATTCTCAACTGGTGACACTTAAGTAACCCTTAAGAATGTATTCTTGGATTGAAGACATGGGGAAAAATGCTGTCCTTTGAGTTTCCAGGCTTGAAATGCTGCTCAAGCCAGGGAGGATGCAGCCCTGGCTTACACAGTCAGGCAGTTTGGTTTGTGTGGGTGGTGGGATTGATGCTGGTGAGTAAGATTTGATTGTGTAACATCCAGATCAGGCAGAGCTGGGGCCAGGAGTCGGGATTCCTTCAGGGCCTGGAGTGCTGCCTGTGCCCAGACTGGGCATTTCTCTCTCTACAGAACACAGTTTAAGTCAAGGCTCTGAGTGTGCTTTTCTCTTTCAGGTTTAAACCACCTGTCCTTTGACCCTGCCAGCACTGAGTCCCTGGGGCTGGACAGCCCAGCTGAGGATGGCAGTGACCCGGGGAAGAGGAAGAGGAGCAGCATTCCCCCAGGTGAGCTGACACCAGGATAGCAGCTGATACCTGGCAGGGTGGGCAGGGCTGGCATGGGTGCCCAGAGCAGCTGTGGCTGCCCCTGGATCCCTGGCAGTGCCCAGGCTGGACATTGGGGTTTGGAGCAGCCTGGGACAGTGAAAGGTGTCCCTGCCATGGAACAGGATGGTTTTTCATGTTCCTTCCAACCCAAACCCTTCTGTGATTCTCTACTTGTCCAAATAGATTTATTTTCCTAATTGAAGAGAATCTCAAGATTAAAATCATGACCATAATAAAAAGCAGGATAAGGCAGCTCAGGCTGAATGACTGGAGACATTCACATTTAACATAATGTCATAAAAACAAAGTGTTAAATGAACTGTGTGGTATTGTCATGTCAGACGAGCTTCCTAGATGCCAGCTTCAGGATTTCTCACAGAGGACTGGGGGGAAAAGGGAGCACAGAATAATGTCTTTGCAGGTTATATCGTGACTGAAAGCTGCAATCCCACCAGTGTGACTGGGGAAATGTGGCACCTGCTTGTCCATGGAGCTGGGATGTTAGAGCATGGACAGAGCAGTCTGGGAATGAGCCAGGAACCTCCCCAGGCAGGTTCCAGGTGCAGAGGGGAAGGATGAGGCTGCACCTGAGGCAGAAGGAAGGGGATGTGCAAAGCTGCAGAAAGAGAGGGTGAAATGCTGCTGGGTAAAGAGAAGGTCCAGCTGTTTCCCTGGAGAGTTAGAAATCCTTGAAGGAGAATCAGGGGCAGTTCAGTGATGGCTTTGATGAGCTGACAGAGCACTTCCCATGGCAGTGGGAGGATCCTGCTGGGACAGCTCCTTCAGCTCAGTGCAGTCTGACAGTTTATACCTGCTAGGTGTTCCTAAATCTCTTGAGGAATCAGCCTCTAATGAGTGCTCCTTCAAGGACCCTTAGAGCTGTTAATTGCAGTGGATGAACCAGAACTGAGGAGCTTGAAGGTGTTTGCCAGGTCCCAGCTGCTCCAGAGGCACAGCACTGGTTGTTTTTTTGCTGGCTCTTCGCTGAGGGTGGGTTTAGCTCTGGTTTAGGGTGCTGACACTGCAGAGCCTCTCTGGGCAGAGCTGGGATCTGCTCTAAGCCCTTAATCACTTTTATGTTCCTCTCAACAGATGGTGGCAGAAATCTGAGCCTGGAGTCCATTCCGATGGGATTGCCAATGTCCGACCCCAGCGCCTGGGCCACGGCCATGAACAACCTGGGCATGGCTCCCATGGGCATGACAGGACAGCCCCTCCTGCCTGGTGAGCTGAGCCTGGGCTTGGGCAGACACCCACCACCTACACACTGAGCTCTGCTTGAAATGCATTCCTGCTGCAAGGGATTTATTTACAGACCTGAGCTGAGGGGAGATGACAATGCATGTCTGTTAATGCAAATAATAGTTATTGTAGTAATTGAAAGTAATAGTTACTGTGGGGTGCCCCTAGGTGTCCTGCAGTGGAGCAGGAGGAGGAGGAGGTCAGGAAAACAGTGATATCCAGGAATTGTACTCTAAACTCAGCTGGAATGGCTGGGAAGGAAGGATGGGAGGAAAGCAACAGGGCAGCAAAATGGACATGGCAGAAACGAATGGAGGATTCTGCTCCAGAAATGAGCACCTGGCAGTGTGAGGTCCATGTGCATGGCTGAGTCATCTTGTGCTGGATGAAAGGGCTCCTGCAGGATCAGAGCTGAGCTGTGCCTCGTTTCCCAGCAGTGCAGGATGCTGCACATCAAAGTCCTGAAAGGAACTGACTGTTCAGTGCTTTGCTGCACTGAGGAGGATGCTGTCCCTGCCATGAGACCTGCCTGCTCACCTGGGGAGGGAATGTCTGTGCTGGCAGACAGCACAACCTTCTCCTCTCCAGTTTGAGGAGCCCCAGCTCTCTCAGCAGTCATAGAGAAAGTTCTCTGCTGTCACAAGGACACACTTGTTTCACATTTGTCTTTGCTGTGGAGTTGGTGTTTCTGTGTCATTCTCCTGCTGACATTCTTCCATGAAGGAAAAATCAACACAAGCCTATCCCACGGATAAGGATAAATCCCTGTGTACTCCTACATCCATGTTTCACAGTTGGAACTGGAAGGTTTCTTGTCCCTTCCTCCACAAACAGTAGTGGCAGAGGATTGGCCTCAGATCCCTGTTTTTGCTGGGACTGTTTCAAAATACTGAGGAAATAGCAGGTGCTTAGCTGCTGGGATTGCTGCACTCGTCTGCTTGGTGAGATGATGCCCTAAATCCTGAAACCTTTTAGATTGGAAAAGACCTCCAGGGTCATTGAATCCAACCTGTGCCTGATCCCCACCTTGTCACCAGCCCAGAGCACTGAGTGCCACATCCAGACATTCCTTGGACACCTCCAGGGATGGGCACTCCACTCCTTCCAATGCCTGTTCATGTACAAATCCTTCCTGATGCCCTTAAGCCTGTGTCACAGCTCTCTGTGCTGCTGGACTGCTTAATAAACCAAACTGGGTCAGGTTTTCCACTGTTCCCTTATGTCACAGGTGTCTTTTTGTGGACAAACCTCTCTGGGAAGGGTTGGACACTAGATGGGAGTAGAGGAGAGAAGGAAGTAATTTATTTTAACAGAGGAAAGTTACTTGACTGTGACAATGAGCAGTGAAATAGTTCTAAAACATTAAGGGCATAAAGTTTTAAAGTTTGATGTTGGCATGTGTCTGGTTTTCCTGGGTACACATGGGAGTGTTCTCTTTGTGTCAGGGCTCACAGTCTCTGTATGGCTCTACCCCCATGTGACTCCTTGTTCTCTGCCCCATTTAGATTTTGATCCTGCTCTTGGGATGATGACTGGGATCCCTCCCATCAACCCCATGATGCCAGGCCTGGGGATTGTCCCACCTCCCATCCCCCCGGACATGCCGGCCGTGAAGGAGATCATCCACTGCAAGAGCTGCACTCTGTTCCCACCCAACCCCCGTGAGTCCCTGCAGGCCACCCGTGCCTGTGTCCTGAGAAACCCCAGCTGGGCTGAGGAAAGGGCCATTCCTGGCACTCTCTGCTGCCAGGAGGGTGACAGAGCAGCAGGAAAAGCCTGTTCGTGTCACTGAGTGTTTGCCATTTCCAGAAATCGCCTTTTCACCTGCTGGGTTGATAAGGAATTGGAGAGAAGCCGTTCCAGTCACTGAGTATTTGAAGTTTTCGTGGTTTGATCTTGTGTGAAGTGTGAGGTGTAGTTCAAGCACACAAGTCTGGAGTGTGTGCAGTTGTAGCACAGAGAATCCCCTGAGTATATTTTTAATATGTTATTTACGTTAGGGCAGTTTTTTAAGCTGTGATTTTGTAGCAGCTTCCATGATAAAGTTGAGAGTTCCTGGTGCTGCTTGTGTTCTTTGACAGCAGCTCAGTGAACCTCCTGCACTCAGGAGAGTGTTTGGAGGGCTCCAGGCTGAACCATGCTGGTGAATGTGTTTATTTTTATGCAGCACCTCAGCAGTGCTGTGGATCCACTCCATAAACCTGAGTGTGGCCCAGCCAGGTGTGTTTGGAGAAGCCAGGGAGGTGTGGTCATCTCCCAGGAGAGACGAGCAGGTGGGAGGAGTGTGAGCTGGCCCCCCAAAACCTGACCTGCTGTGCTTTCTCTCCTCAGATCTTCCCCCTCCAGCCACCAGAGAGAGGCCCCCAGGGTGCAAGACCGTGTTTGTTGGGGGGCTGCCAGAGAATGGCACGGAGCAGATCATCATGGAGGTGTTTGAGCAGTGTGGGGAGGTCATTGCCATCCGCAAGAGCAAGAAGAACTTCTGCCACATCCGCTTTGCTGAGGAGTTCATGGTGGACAAGGCACTTTACCTGTCTGGTGGGTGTGCTTGGCTCAGAGGGAAGCTGTAAATCCTGGGACAGAGCTGTGCTTGGTGCATTTGTAGGCAGAATAATAGGATTGGGGCAGGTTTCTCTGATGCTGTGTCAGTTTGCCTTCTGCTGCCATTGCATTTCTGCTTAAATATATGAAACAGCTCCTGAGGAAAGGCAGTGATGCTTTGTCACCTGAAAACGTTTACAAAACATTGGGCTGAGGTGGAGAGTCTATTTCCATCTTAGCTAGACACTTGTCCATGTAATTCTGTAGATAGTTCCTAAAAAAAATGGACAGTTGCTCCTGATGTGCTGGCTGTGGGCTGGACTTAGTTGGAGTTTGATTTGGCTGGTTGGTGTGGCTTAGTCGGGTTTGATTGGCCTGGTCACCTTGCCTTGGTGGGCTTTTATTTACCTGGTGTCCTTGCCTTAGTGGAGTTTTATTTGGTCGCTGTTCTTGCCTTAGTGAGGTTTGACTTGCCTGGTGCCCTTGCCTTAGTGGGGTTTGATTCATTTACCTGATGCCCTTGCCTTAGTGAGGTTGGATTTACTTACCTGGTGTCCTTGCCTTAGTGGGGTTTTGTTTGCATGATGGCCTTGCCTCAGTGGGGTTTGATTTGGTGGTTTGCCTTGCCTTAATAGGATTTTTCCCTGTTACCACCAGAGCCACCCCTGTGCTCCTTTCACCACACAAACCCCAGGTGACCCCTCTTACCCTCCCTGCCCCCAGGCTACCGCATCCGGCTGGGCTCCAGCACGGACAAGAAGGACACGGGGAGGCTGCACGTGGACTTTGCCCAGGCCCGGGACGATCTGTACGAGTGGGAGTGCAAGCAGCGCATGCTGGCCCGGGAGGAGCGGCACCGGCGCCGCCTGGCCGAGGAGCGATTCCGGCCGCCCTCGCCTCCCCCCGTGGTGCACTACTCCGACCACGAGTGCAGCGTGGTGGCCGAGAAGCTCAAAGGTGACAGGGGATGGGCAGACAGAGCTCTGGGTTCACAGAAATCACAGAATCCACAGAGTGACCAAGTTGGAAGAGACCTTCAAGATCAAGCCCAGCCCTAACACCTCACCCAGCCCATGGCACTGAGTTCCATATCCAGGCTTTTTTTAAACACATCCAGGGATGGTCACTCCACCACCTCCCTGGGCAGACCATTCCAGTATTTTATCACTCTTTCCAGGCTCACCTGGCCCCGGGTTTCCTGGCAAACACTCTGGTCCAACACTCTGCCCAGCCCAGTCTTGAAAGCCTCTGGTGTTGGGGAGTCCAGCACTTTCACAATGCTGCCACTGTGGAAAGTTGTCCCCAGGAGTACCTGATCCCCCTCATCCTCTCCCTTGTAAAAGAGGAGTTTGCATCTTCACAGCCCTGCCCAGGACACAGTGATGAGGTCTCTCTTAAATCCCATTTTCCCAAGGCTGAACAAACCTGTTGAATGCAGCAAACTTGTGCAAATCAAAACTGTTCTGTACAAGTTTCTTCCAGATAATTTTGGTTATGGTTGAAAGGACTAATGTAAGACTTTCTTGGAAGCTTGAGATTCATATGTGACCTGATGATTTTGGAGCTGGAGGTCATTTCCTTTCAAAAAAGGGTCCATGTCAGTAGATGTGAAGTTTTCCAGTAATTTCCTAGTGCTCATTCTTCCTCTTGCTGCACTTCAGCAGGTGAATTGCTCCATCATCTTGGTGCTGGACTTGCCTTCCTTTGTGCAGCCACGTGTTCAGGTCCTTCCCTGCTCCCAGGAGCTGTGATGAGTCCCCTGAAGGACGCTGACCTTTGGAGGAGCAGTTCAGCTCCAGGGAGAGGACCTGAAAGCTGCCCAGAGCTGTGATGTAAAGCTGTCCTTCCTTTGCTGCAGATGACACCAAGTTCTCAGAAGCCATCCAGACCTTGCTGACCTGGATAGAACGTGGGGAAGTGAACAGGAGAACTGCCAACAACTTCTACTCCATGATCCAGTCAGCCAACAGCCACATCCGCAGGCTCGTCAACGAGAAGGCAGCCNAGAACGTGGGGAAGTGAACAGGAGAACTGCCAACAACTTCTACTCCATGATCCAGTCAGCCAACAGCCACATCCGCAGGCTCGTCAACGAGAAGGAGATGGAAGAGGCTAAGGAGAAGTTCAAGCTGGCTCTCTCAGGGATCCTGGTGCAGTGTGAGTAGTGTCTCCATGCTGGATGTTGGTTTTCTGGTGTAGGGAAGGCTCTTAATTTCCCGAGTCTGGAGTGGCAGTCGCTTCAGTGCAGCTGATTGGGAATTATGTGGTACTAACCTGGCAAAAATCCCTTGTGGTCCCTTTTTACTGGAGTAAGAGTCCACATCTGGGGGGAGGAGAGGATGAATTCTGAATTTGTTTCCTCTTAATTATCATGTTATTAGTTCTGTCATCTTTTGAACCCCTCCTGTGCACAGACAAGGTAAGTTCTGGGAATCTGGTGCCTCAGCCAAGTGTGCAGGATTTGGTCGCCAAAGGTAGGAGCAGCAGAGTGCTGCCAACACCCTGGTGCACACCCTGGGTCTTTCAAATCCCAGTGCTTTATAAAACCAGGAAATCAAGGAAGAGGCATGGACTGTATTAATTCCAGGATGTGATCTGTAGCAGTTCCTCAGACCGTTCATTGGCTCTTACACATCCTTGCTGTAGTAAATCTGAGTATTTTTACTTCTTTACAAGTACCTTCTCCACAATTGTACTAATTCTCTTTGAGACCCTTGCCTAGCTTTTGAACATTCTTAACTTTTGGTTTTGTACCTAATAATTTTAGCTGTTACTTGATTTTTTTTCTTTTAAATTGTTCTTTTTCTTTGAATTCTGTTAATGGTAAAAACTACGGGCACACGGTCCAGAGGGACAGAGTGAGCACTGCAGAGTAAGTAGTAATAGAGGCTAGTGTGTAACTGCACTCCCTAAAACCAGGACTCATATCTCAGCCACTCTTAGGTTACTCTAAGGAGCAGGGAGATGAGTTTATTTTGTGAGAATTATGGGCACTGCATCACGAGCATAGAAAAAAAAAATCAAGTGGATGTGCTTTGTGCTGTGGGTGAGCTCTCAGCCAAGGAGAAGCACTTTGTGTGTTCCAAATCCTCTGAATTTTCTAGAGAAGCAGAAGGAATAACTGGGGACCAAGAAGGAATAACAGGACCAAGAAAAGCTGCTGGCTGGTGCCTTTGCTTTGCCCCTGGTCCTGTTGCTGTAGCTCACACAGGCTGTGGCACTGTCCAAATGTTGTAGCTCACCAGCCCATTTCAGAGGTGAGTCCTGCCCCTCTGAACCCGCACTCCAGCCAGCCTCACACAGCCTGTTTGGATATTTTTCAGCACCTGTGCTGCCTTTTTTGCACGTGTCCTGCCTTTTTCCCAGCTGAGAGCAGAGCCCATGCCCTGCTGCTCTGTGAGTGTTTGGCCCTGGCCTGGTGAATCCCACGGGGCTCTCTGCAGACCCTGAGCGTAGGTTCAGCACAGTGCAGTGTTATGAGAAAAGGGGAGCCAAACCACCTGCCTGATTGCACTTTTTTACTCCTTTACTCCTGTTGTTCGCCCTCTCTGGATGCTATTCGGGCCCGATTTGCTGCTGATTTGCCACTCCAGTCGAGCAGATAGTGGCCGTGTACCATTCTGCCTCCAAACAAAAGGCTTGGGACCATTTCACGAAAGCTCAGCGTAAGAACATCAGCGTGTGGTGCAAACAAGCTGAGGTTGGTAACCTTTTCTTGTGTTGGATCCTCCAGCTCGCTCTCTTGCTTGTCAGGATGTTGATGTTGAGTTTGCACGATGCTCGTGTGGATAACAACACCTTCCTTCACAGTGGGAGGTGGGGATCACTCAGGAGGCTCTTGTGGTACAGGTAATCCGTTTTCTCTTGGTATTTGTGTCACCAGTAGCAGCACATCGAGACTTGGCTGCTCATGGAAGCTGTGCACAATAATAGACACAATAACGATAATAAATGTTGATTTTTCTGCTGGTTTTCATATGAAAGCAAAAAGGATTTCTAGAGAGACTTTAAAAAAAAAACCAAAAACAAACTCCAAGTGTCATCAGAATCTTTTATCACATTTTTATGTGATATTTCCACCTTGAGGTGGAAATAATTGCAGATGTACACCCTGGAAAGCTTGAGGGAGGATGCTCTCATGTTTGTGTATTATCCATGAACTGGCACGATGAAATGTGTGGTTTAAAGGTGGTGATGAGGAAGGAGCTGATGGAAGAAGCCTTGTCACTCCCACTGCTCTTCCTGCAGGAGGAAGAACAGTTCTTAGTCCAGTAAGATTTGATAACGTCAGCTAAGGGAGACAGGCAGGATGTCAGAAATGAGGAAGCTAAAAAAGGTGATGGTGGGGAGATGTCTGTCCTGGGGCTGTGATGAGATCCCTGCTGCCACCCTGGGGTGCAGGGCCTGGCACTTGGCCTTGCTGGGTCTCAGGAGGTTTGACCCCACTGCTCCACCCTGTCCTGCTCCCTTTGGCTCTCATTCCTTACCCCTAGTGTAAATCTTCCTGTGGTTCTGCATTTGTCTGGGGTTTTGAGTTCCTTACTGCAGACTTGGACAGCAAATCTATCCCAGCAAAGCCAGGAGCTGTGTTTCACCTTTAAATTAATTAACATCCAGAGTGAGTCTTGGCAAAGCTGATCTGGGATCCCTGTGGGCTGGAGGTGTCTTGGCCTGTGATCCCATGGATTTGGGGTGTCCAGGCCTGTGACCCCCGTGGATTTGGGGTGTCCAGGCCACCTCCCTGTAGAGCTGCAGCCTGGGAAAGCTCTGGATCATGCCCAGCCTTGCCCTGCTGGTGCCAAGCAGGTTGTTGATCCTCCTCCATGCTGGAGCACTCCAAATGCCCACATTGTCCTGGGAAGTTTCCAGCTGGGGTTTCTCTGTGACCCTGGACCTGTGGGACTTGCCACATCCCACTGAGTCAAACCTTTGTAGCAGCTGAAAGAGGAGCCAAGGTTTCTTTTTCACCTGTGCAATCTGATTGAGGTTCCCTCTGAGCCCAGTGCTCCTGTCCTTCCCTGCCTTCTGATGGCTGCCTGTGGCTGGGGTGGGAGCTCTCTCTCCAGTTGGAGCTGGCTTTTGTTCCAAGGTAAGTTCTCCCAGTGGGAAGAGGCTGTGAGACCTCTGGTGAGGCCTCTTCCAGGAGCACTTCAGCTGCTGCTCTCCCCAGCTTAGGGACTGCTCTTAAAGGAAAGTGGAAACCACAAGATGCAGATTTTGACAGATACTTACATATTTCTAAAAATGCTGCTATATGGTTCATCTTTAGGTGTGATTTAAAGTGTCTCTTACCTCCTTGTAGATATCAGATGCTGGCTAAAGGGTCTCTCAGCGTTTTGGGGTCACCTTGAGGAGGTCCCTGTCCACGCAGGGCTGCAGCTGTAGCTTGGTTTGCTCTGTCCCAGCTCAGGTTGGGGCTTTTGGCTCCAGAGAATTAGGGCTGACTCCAGTTCCTCGTGGTTTGCACAGCAAGGCTGAGCTGCCTCATCACAGGAGCAGAAGGGAGATGGAAGAGTCAGGAATCCCACAGTGACTTGTGCTGGATATTGCCCTTGATCCAATGATCTGTGCCAGTTTTGAAATCGTGTCCTGGAGTTGTGTTTTGCAGACCTACATTTCAGGAACTTCTCATCCAGCCAACCTGTTCCTCAAAATGTGTTCTGAACCCCCCTCTGCTTTCTGAACCCCAGGAGATCCGTAACATCCACAATGATGAGCTGATGGGCATTCGGAGGGAGGAGGAGATGGAAATGTCCGATGAAGAAATAGAGGATCCATCAGAGATGAAAGAAACAGAGGAGTCAGGTAAAATCCCTTTGTACAGCTCACAGTGTGCTTCTTCCTTTGTGGCACCGGGAAGCCATTCCTGTCACTGCATCCTTTGTCCCCAGTCCCTCCCCAGCTCTCCTGAGCCCCTTTGGGCTCTGAGCTCTGCCTGGAGCCTTCTCCTCTCCAGCCGAGCACCCCCAGCCTGCGATACCCCAGACATCAGGAGCCTTTCCTTTGGGTGCTCAGCCTTTGTCACCCGAGCTGCAGAGCCCAGGGCAGGGTGTGGGGAGCAGGCAGGGTTGTTTATTTTGGCTGTGTGTGTGTGATGTGTGTGCTGTGCCCAGCGCTGGTGTCTCAGGTGGAGGCTCTGAAGGAGGAGAACGACAGCCTGCGCTGGCAGCTGGACGCGTACCGCAACGAGGTGGAGCTGCTCAAGCAGGAGCAGGGCAAGGCCTCCAGGGACGAGGACACCACCAAGGAGCAGCAGATGAAGCTCCTCCAGCAGGCCCTGCAGGGCATGCAGAAGGTGGGCCTGGAATTTTCCACAGCAGGGGGAAAGAGGCTGGGATGGGCGGCAGAAACACGTGGGAAAACACTCTGGGTTTTAGCAGGATCCAAGCTGGCAGGGAGGAGCAGCTTTGTTGTTAAAAAAAAAAAACCCAGAGCAAATATTGATAGCAGGGATTATGTATGAGCTGATAAATCCCATGGAAGCAGTCCACAGTTAATGGATTCCTTGTGTGCTCTTTGCTGTGACTTCCAGAACCAGCTGAGCAAGGAAGTTGGAAATGCCATCCCTTGGGGATGGAATTACTGCCCCACGTTCACACACCTGGGCTTTTTGCTATGCTAATAGGCAAAGGTGTTCCTAAGGTACACTCTGGATCCTTCTTGTTTTAAACTTCATCTGGTGACAGTTCTGGATGTGATCTGTCAAAACCCTTCTAAGTGTTGTGGTCTTTGAACAATAGCTGGTGGAAGGCAGGTTAAGAGTTGATCTTTTCCCTTCCAGCATCTTTTGAAAGTCCAAGAGGAATACAAAAAGAGAGAAGCTGAGTTGGAAAAAGTGAAAGAAGACAAGCTGAAAATAGAAACATTACTAGAAAACCTGAAGGAGCAGGTATGTGCCATGCAGGTCTTCCTTGGGTTTTGTGCTGAAGGACATCTGTCCTCCTGCACTCCTGGTGAAAATGCCCAGCCCTGGTTTGGAGCAGTTGTCTTTGGAAAGTGAGGAAAAATTCCCAGTCAGATTGCAGGATGTCAGTCAGGAATGGACCTGCAGTTGCTTCATGTGCCTGTGAGCCAATCTCAGCAGCTGTAAAATAAAATGGGACTGAACAGTGTGCAGTGGTATCACAGCTGGAACTGGGTTTCCTGCTGCCTGAACTTTGAAAAGATAAAAAAAAAAAAGGTCTCAGTTATCAGACACTGATATTTACAACTGTGGTTTAGGAGCATGTTTTGATCTGCCCTCCATGAAACACTTTGGACTGAAAGTTTTTGTGAGTGTTTTAATGTTTTTGTTCTTGCTGGGTTTATTCCAAACAGAAATCCATGCAGAATTCCAAACAGAAATCCATCGTGCTGCTTCTCAGGTTTGATCCCCTCTGATTTGCTTGTGGATCAGGCCATGACTCCTGGGCCTTTCCTCTCCAGCACAGACACAATTGCACAAGGAGCATGAGGCAGCACTTCCCCTTGGCCCACTGAGCCAAATACTGGGTTTATCTCATTTTCCATCTTCAGTCCCACTTTTTTGTGCCATGAGCTGGGGAAGATAATGAATCCCTTTCTCCTCACTAGAAATGGTTTTGTTTATTCCAGTAGTCATCAGAGCAGGAGCTTCAAAACAAAAATAACAGATGATCATCAGTAATCTTTCCTTTCTTTGCCCATATATAGCAGAGCATGGCAGATGAAGAGGACAAGGAGGGAGATGTAGCTGACTGCCAAGGGAATGTAAGTCCAAGAGCTCTGGGGCAGTGGGAGCTGTCCCTGCCTGTGGGGCAGGGTGGGCTTTGAGGTCCCTTCCAGCCCAATCCATCCCATAATCCTGGGATCTCCAGAAGGTTTGGAGGCTCTGGGTTTGCAGTGCAGCTGCTGGGCTGCAGTTCCTGCATCAGCTTCCACGGGGCAGAGCTCCTCTTTCTCCTCTGGAGTCAAGTGTGGAAGCTCAGCCCTGAGAGCTGAGAACTGCTCTGCTGCAAGAATTTGAGCAAACCCAGGGGACCATTCAGTTCTATCTTTGTCACTGGCCTCCCTCCAGCCCATCCCACTGCTCACTGGAAGCTGTTCCCAATTATAGCTGCCCACAGCTCCCAGGCTACTGGAATTCCACATAAAACCAGGGAATAAAAGCAAGTTCTGCCTTTAGTGCAGCCACCATCTTTGCATTGTTGTGTTTATGTCAGGGATAATAAATTCTGTTTTAATTCAGTACTACAAACTCAAGTCAGGGACAGTGTGATCCTAAGCCCTGTGCAGCCCCATGGCACTTGGTTAATTTGTGTCAGTTTGGGCATTTGGAAAACAAATCTCAAAGTCATGGCAAGGCCGTGGTCTGGTTTGTATTTTGCTGTTTAAAGGAAGGCATAAAGATGTCGTGTCAGGGAGCAGGGCTGGTGCAGGGTGACATCTGCTGAACTTTGTGACCTTTTCCTGTCACTTGGATCATGGACACAGCTGTGCTTTGCTGGGAGCACTTTGGGAACCAGCAGATAGAGCAGTGATGGGTGCAGTGACCCAGGAATCCAGGGAACCCCCCTGCAGGTTCTGTGGAGCCTGCCCAAGGCAGTGCCTGCTGTGCCAGCCTGTCTGAACCTGCCCTGTGGGATTGTTTTTCAGGAGAGCAGCACATCCAGAGTTTGTGCCTGCAGCCAGGAGAAGGAATGCCCAGTGGAGAAAACCTTGAGCAACAGCCCTGTGAAATCTGAACGAGAAGTTCTCCTGGTTGGTGAGTTCTGGCTTGGTGGTGATGTCAGAGAGCTGAGCTGGGGGGGACCTGGCACTGCTCCTGCCACCTCCTGCTCCTTTGGTTCTCCCAGGGAGTCCTGGCACTGCTCCTGCCACCTCTGGCTCCTCTGGCTGTCCCAGGGAGTCCTGGCACTGAGGAGAACCTGGAGCTTTGCTGGGGTCAGGCTGTGACCTTGTGACACCTTGGCTGCCTGCAGGGACACAGGGCTGCTGTTCCCAGCTGGCTTTTGTCTCGTGCCAGTGACCTTTGTGCTGCTCCTTTCCCCAGGGATAATTTCAACTTTTCTCCACGTGCATCCCTTCGGGGCCAGCATTGAGTACATCTGCTCCTACCTGCAGCGCCTGGACAGCAAGGTGGGTGTGGGGCAGGTTGGGCTGGACAGTGAGGCCTGGGCTCTACTCCCTGCACAAATCTGGGGGAGAATGAGGGATGGGGGGAATTTTTGGATGGGTTGTGTTGGGAGGGACTCAAAGCCCATCCATTCCACGCCCTGCCATGGGCAGGGACACTTGCCACTGTCCCAGCTTGCCCAGAGCAGCCCAGCTTTGGGGTTTCCACCACTCACCACATCCCCAAGTGCTCCCAATGGCTTTGTGCTCCTTTTGGGTGAAAATGGGAGTGACTGCTGTGCAAAGGCTCCTGGATGGAGGAAGGAATTCCATCTCATTCTCCATCCTGCTCTCCAGCTGTCTTCCTTAAAAAGCCTCAGGCATGGGAGGCCCCACAAGCAGGGGAATCCTGTCTTGGGATTGGAACTTATCCAGCTGCCTGTGTTTATAACTGAGTGTTTAATTTACCCTTTCCTCAGAAAACGTGGCTCCCTGGCCTGGCTCTCTCCAGACAGAGTTAATAATTTTATCTCTTCATTCTAGCTTGGAATTTGTCTGTGGGGCCACCAGCTGCCTTTATTTTGGTTTGGAGCTCCCATAAAACTGCCATCATAGCGTTCAGCTGCCTCGTGGAACTTCCTCTTTGCTATCCACAGTGCAGAGAGGGGCTCCTGGAAGCTTCTGCTCGTTTTCCCTGTCCCCAGACCTTCACCCCAGTGCTGTTTTCTGTCCCCAGATCTGCACTGCTGAGGTGGAAGTGCTCATGACACGCCTGCAGAACACGTTCCGCCAGGAGCTCAGCGGGGTTGGGGCCAGCCTGGAGAAGAGGTGGAAGTTTTGTGGCTTTGATGGGTTGAAAATGACTTGAGCTCTGACTTCACTCTGGAAGCAGGGAGAGCTGAGAAAACCTGGGATGCTCCTCCCTCTGTTCCTGATGATTCCCTCACACCACGGCCTCGGGGGACAAAATGTCAAAGTGAAACCAAGCCCAGAGCACCACTGGAAGAACCTCCGAGTTCTGCAGCTCCTTTGATCAGTTATTTGTTAATGGACAAGTGCTGTTCAATACACTTGGGGGAAAAAAGCTCCTGCCTGACCCTCTGAAGCACAGCGTGTCCACTCTGTGTCCTGCCAATGTTGTATGTGCTTGTGTGCCCAAATTCCTCCTCCTCAACCTTCCTTCTGCTAGCAGCAGCCACAGACTGTCCTGAAGCAACCACAAAGGGGCATCTTCTGGTTTTAGATCACCAAAAGGGGGGGAAACCCCATTTTTTAGGTATTTCTATGAGTAAAAACCAAGATATGTTTAAACAGAAGGTTTAGATGGCTCAGGGGCCTCTGAGCCAAGGATTTGGGGGGTTTTTTTGTGCTGTTTTCTCTGTTAGCAGTTAAGCTGAGCTGGGGGGAGAGGGAGATTCTGGCAGTGCCACTCGTGCTCTGGGTCAGTCTGTACAGAATATTTTACATGGGAAGGCTGTTTAATTTTCTGGGGATGTGTGTGGAGCAGAGCTACAGCAGCCTGGCTTTTGGTGATTTTTACCACCCAGTTCCTCTCCCTACTTTGCTTTGGAGCCCCTGAACCTCGTTGCTCACGTTCCCAATGCATGCCAGGCTCCTGCCCAGCTGTGCAGGGTGGCACAGCTCAGCCCCTCCTAGCCTGCCCAGGGTCCTCTGCACCCTCCTGCCTGTGTTCCCAGCCTGGTGTCACCTGCAGAGCTCAGTGTTCCTGTTCTGGACATCCCAGATGTTCCCAGCACAGCTGTCCCGGTTCCAGCCCCTCCTGTTTGCTCCCGAGCTGTTGGTGCCCTTCCCTTGGGCTCCTGATCCCCCCTCATCTCTGGGGGAGAGGCCCCAGGTCCCCGAGGTGTGACACGTCCCCAAGCCTGGTGCCATCGTGCCAGGTGCTTCTCCCCCCTGTGCCATGGCCAAGGTGGTGCCCAGGTGAGTACAGGGGCATTTCTGGGTGTTCTGTTCAGGCACAGAGACCTGGTGTTTGTGAACCAATTCCTCATCCAAAACCCCAAAATTCCACTGGTGGCACCAGGCTTGACCTGCTGGCTCTGTTTCCCCCTCCCCATTCCCTGCAGGGGGAGGGATAGAGGAGAGCACTCCCTGTGCTCCTGCTCCCTTCCCCCTCATCCCAAGGCCCTGAGGTCTCTCCAGATCCCTTGGATTTCTCCCTGCACCTTCATCCTCCAGCCCGGATGAACCATCCTCCTCCTCCTCCTCCTCCTCGTTGTTGCTGCCGCTGGCAGAGCCTGGCACAGACACCCCTGCTGTGCCAGGTGGGAATGTGCCACCTGTGCCACCTGTGCCACCTGGCCCTTGGGCTCAGCCAGGCTGACAGAGGGCAGGGGGCCGTGTGCTCAGTGAGAACTCTACCTGAGAAAAAAAATCAGGGAAGAAACTTCAGGAGCCCAGGAGAGTTACAGAGCCCTGAGAGCAGCCCAGAGCCAGGGAAGGCTCCAGGGGGATCAGTGGGGCCAAGGGGGAATCAGTGGGGCCAGGAGGATCAAGGGGGGATCAGTGGGGTCACAGGGCTGGGCTCCCCAGCGTGGCAGCTCTTGCAGCACAAGCTCTCGCTGGCTCCCAGCCCCTGCTGGCTGCAGGGTGGGAGCTGGGCTGGGCCAGGGCACCCTGGGCAGCCAGAGCTCCCTCCTGGGGGGCTGAGGGGGCTGGGGCTGCTGGAGAGACCGGGCAGGTTGTTCCATGGGGCAGCAGGAGGGCCAGGAGCTGTGGAGCAATGGCTGGTGCTGTGAAAGTGAGCCAGGGCTAGAGCACCCCAGGTCCTGCTGCTTCCCCTCTCCCAGGGCCTTTCCAGAGGGGCTGGGGTTTCTCCCAGGAGGAATCCATCCTGCACATGGGCTGCTGAGGTGACAGCCGGGGTGGGTGACAGAGACCTTCCCTTGCCATGGGCTGTTCCCTCCTGGGCTCTTGCTCTGCCTGCTCCCGACACTGAGCGCTTGCCACACTGGGAGCAGATAAAAGCCCTTTAAAAATGTTCAGAATAGTTGTGTCCCTGCAGATGAATGCTGTATTTTTAAGGAATAAACATTTTTTTATGGGCAAATCTTGGCCCTGCTGCTTTCTTTGTCATTTCAACCCAAACCATTCCATGATCATTTGCTGGAGCCCGGCTGTGCCCTCCAAAGGGCTCGTGGGTGTGTTAATTGGCAAGGAAGTGCCAATTTTGGGTGTTGGTGGAGGTTTGGGAGGCTCTCCGCGGTCTGTAACCTTCTGGGGATGACCTGAGCTGTAGATCCACCCCTTGAGGTCTGTGAGCTGTGCAGGACCCTGGGTGTGGAGAGCATCTCTGTGCCAGAGCCGGGCACGGGGACGGTGCCGTGGTGGAGCCCCAGGAATGCTGAGGTGGGAGCCAGGAGCCCAGGCAGCACCTTCCCAGCACAGCTGGTGCTTTGGGGGGTGCTGGTCTCCCCTGGATGGGATCAGGGAAGCTGAGGATGGAGGGGATTGAGCAATGGGTGATCCCAGCCAAGGCTCCGTGTCCAGCGTGGGAAGAGCAGCTCCTTCCATCCAACCCTGCCCTCTCTCCGCACGCTGCTCCTGGCTCTCGTTTCTTTGGCAGAAAATTCACATTCTCATCCCCTCTCTCCTCCCCTCGGCTGTGGCAGCTCCTTCCCATCACTTCCCCTCTTCTCCTCCTGCCTCTGGGCTGGGAGGGCCCCGGAGCCTTTGGGGAGACGCTGCTGTGAAATTCAGCGTCCCAGAGGAAGAGCTGGGAGCTCCAGGAGCTGCTGCCACAGGACACAGGCAAGGTAAATGTGAGCCCTTTGTTCCAGCTGGGAGAGAAAAACTGCAGCTGGAACTGGGGGAGCAGCCACTGCTCCTTGGGGATGGAGGGGGCAGCTGGACCGAGCTCTCCCCAAGGGATTTCCTGAAATAAGCACCAGTCCTGGTTTTGAGTCCGTCAGATTCCTGCTCTGGCATTCTCTCCCAAGGAGGAGTTCTGGGGGGTTCTGGCTTTGCCCCCGCTGTGGGCCAGCATTTCCTCCCTTGTGGGGATCCTGGTGCCTGTCCAGGCTGATCCACAGGGGTCACCCATCCCTGTCCCCTGGGATCCACAGGGTCACCCATCCCTGTCCCCTGCAGGGTCACCCATCCCTGTCCCCTGCAGGGTCACCCATCCCTGTCCCCTGGGATCCACAGGGTCACCCATCCCTGTCCCCTGCAGGGTCACCCACGCTGCTGCTGTGCCTCTGCCTTGGAGGTGCTTTTCCCCATTTCAGGGACATAAATCCACCCGTGGGGTGAGAGGCAGGGAGGTGTTTGGGGTTGACTCCTGCAGGATGAGTTTTGGCAGTGCCAGGGTGGTGGTGGTGGCACTCGGGGCTGTGAGTGGTGCCTGTGCTGGGGCAGATAAAGCAGCGGCTTGTCCGGGCTTCTCCTTCCTGCCCTCTCCTCCTTCTGCCTTCCCTCTGCTGCTGCCCCTCCTAACCGGGATTCCTCCTCCTCCTCCTCCTCCTCCTCCTCACCCCATGGCAGTCACATCTCCCAGGACTCTGCTCAGGCTGGGGCTGTGGACTCTGCTGGAGCTTCACCTGCACAAAGGTGATTCCCTGCAGTGTTCTCTGGGGGAACTGAATTCTCTGGAGGTTTGTCTGTCTGTCCATCCATCCATCCATCCATCCATCCATCCATCCATCCATCCCTCCCTCCCTCCCTCCATCCCCAGCAGCTGCTCCTGCCCTGCTGGGAGCTCTGGGTGCAGCAGAGCCACAGGAGCTGGCCCTGGCATGTGCAGATTCTCTCACCTTTGACAGCCAAGGAGTTTCCTGCCCCAGGATGGAAGTTATAAAAATTCCCTGCATTGCACCTCTTGAATTTGGCAGAGGGCAGGGATGGATGGGACATTGGGAAGGAATTCCTGGCTGGCACAGGTGCCCAGATTTGCTGTGGCTGCTCCTGGATCCCTGGCAGTGTCCAAGGCCAGGCTGGATGGGGTTTGGAGCAGCCTGGGACAGTGCTTGGTGTCCCTGCCATGGCAGGGGTGGAATTGAGGAATTGGTTTTGAGGTCTCTCCCAGGCCAAAGCAGTGGGGGATTCTATGCTGTAGCTGAATTCCCTTTTCAGTGGGCCCTTACAGGGAACTCTGAACAACTCTTTTCTATTTGTTTTCTTCTTTAGTTTATGTCACTTTCTAAATACCTTTAGGAACTGAAATTTCAAACCTGGCCAGCAGGAGCCAGCCCCAGGGGCTGGAGGGGGTGGCAGAGACTGGCACAGGAGCCCTGTCCTGTTCCTGGGGGTCTCACCCTCATCCCTTGAGACTTGCAGGCATTTATTTTTCATTCTTGCCTTAAGCCTCTCCGGGGAGGTTCCTTCCAGAGCCCGGACTCTGACCTCAGTCCTACCTTCCCTCTGGGGCTGCTGCTGCTCTTTGGACCGTGCTGGTGCTGGGACGGTGGCACAGGTGGCACCAGGAGGAGGTGGCACAGCCAGGTCAGTGTGGGCTGAGGAACCAGGTCCCTGTGTGGGCTCCCCCAGAGAATGTTGAAATGAGGTGATGTGGCTGGGGCATCTGCAGCCCCACGGGCTCTTTGGAGAGGTGACAGAGGTGACAAATGCTGCAGCAAACACTCCCTGGGTGCTCCCGGCAGTTCTCTCCTCACGCAGGTGTCACTGCCACGTGTTCCCCTCACACGGGTGCGTTGTCCAGAGCACCTGGGGCTGGCCCTGTGGCAGCCCCAGCCCTGGGATGCAGCCCGTGGCCCTGCAGAGCCTGTCCGAGCTGGAGAGGGCCAGTCTGCAGGAGCTGGCACTGTTCCGACTGCAGGACAGGCTGCCCGGGGGACAGCTCAGCCTGGACAGAGGTAACGGGGACAGGGGGGACAGGGGGGACAGGATGGGACAGGATGGAAAGGATGGAATAGGATGGGAGAACATGGGACAGGGGGGACAGGAGGGACACGATGGAACAGGATGGGACAGGAGGGACACAATGGGACAGGATGGACAGGAGGGGACAGGATAGGACAGGATGGCACAGGAGGGACACAATGGGACAGGATGGCACAGGAGGGGCACTATGGGACAGGAGGGACACAATGGGACAGGAGGGACACAATGGGACAGGATGGCAGAAGAGGCTCCTGCCAGGGGATGCTGAGGCTGCCCCATTCATGCCTCCCACCCCCACACCACAGCCCGGGATGCTGGCTATGGGAAGACATTCGTGACACGTTTTGATCCATTTTATTCCTCCTTCCTGCTTTGTTCTGAGCCCCAAAGGCCTGACCAGCCTGTGGAGGGCTTTGTGTGTCCACAGCAGTGTGAGAACCTGACCCTCCACCCCCCAAAGCCAAAGCAGATGTGAGAAGTTGGCCACGTCTCCCCTGGGTTTGTCTGAGTGCCCTCGGGGTGGGACAGGATTTGCAGTTTGGATCCTTGTCCAGCTCTGAGTCCTGATGCTGGAGAGGGGCTGAGGGCAGAGGGGATGCTGCACTGGGACATTAAAGGGTGGATAAATTTAGGAACTGAGCACAGGGGCCCTGTCAGGGGTCCCAGGGCTGCCCCATCAGCAAACCCAGAGAGCTGGGGTTCCCAGACTCCTTCCCAAATTCCCTTCTCACCCTCCTGATGTGCCTCCTCTGCCCTGGGCCATATTTTGGCATCCCAGCAGGGCGGGGGATGGCAGCAGCTCACCAGGGCTGGGGGTGCAGAGGGGGTTTGGGGGTCTCCAGCCCCATCCCGGGGCAGGAGGGAGGCTCCAGGGATCCCCTGCCAGGGCCCAGCCTCACACTGAGCACCAAGGGCTTGGGGTGACACCCAGGCTTGGTTTCCCATCGAACATCCCCAAGATTTCACGCCATGAAATGGCTTCATGGAGAGCCCAGCACAGCTCCCCTCTCCTTCCCAGAGCTCCCAGTGCCTCCAGGGCTGCAGCACCAGTCCCTGGAGGGCTTTGACCACAAACATCCTGATTCCTTTTCTATTTTGTTTTATTTTGGACTGCTGTGATCCCCCTTGCAGCGACAGCCTGCAGCAGCAGCTCCTCTAGGGACCAGTGCAGTGCCAAAAAAGAAACCCCAAACCCCAATATTTCCTTCCTGGTTGGTCTGTGTGCTGCTGGATAATTTATGTTGGCTTCTACACTCATGTTCCTCATTCCAGCTGTCAGAGCTTTCCTCTAAGCCTTACAGAATAACCCAAACAAGTCGATATGAGCTGTTCCTAAGGAAGAGAATTCCTCAGGAATGAGGAGTATGAGCCAGAATAGGGTGATGTGTCCTGGAAGGATTTAGGGTGGGCAGTGAGGGGATTCTCAGTTCACTGCTGCTGGATGTGTGAGGCTGGAGTCCCCCAGAGCAGGATGGGATTTGTGGTGGGGTTTTGTACAACTTTTTATGTCTGTGCCCTGTAAAACATTCCCAAAAACCTTTCTGGGCCTCACTGCTCGTGTAGAGCCATGGGGTCTCCACCCCTTCACCTGGAGAGGGTGGTGCCCATTTCTGGGAATGTTCCCGGGCTCTGATGTCCCTCCCCGGGCTCTGATGTCCCTCCCCGGGCTCTGATGTCCCTCCCCGGGCTCTGATGTCCTCCCAGCTGCTGTCCCGTGGCTGTCCCTGCAGTGTCCCCTGGCTGGAGGTGCAGAGGCACAGGAGCCTGTGCTGGTGCTGAACCTTCCCCTCTTCTCCTCCCAGATGGCTCCAGAGGCATCAAATCCATCCGGCAGAAGCTGGAGAGCCTCTCCAAGGACAGGAAAGGTGAGCCCCTCCCTTTTCCCTGGGCTTTGGTCCCTGCTCTCGGGGGCAATGGGGGATTTTGGTGGGATGGGAGGTGCCCAAATCCAGCAGGAAGCTTCACCCCGGGTTGTTCTGCCGTCCTTGGGGTGGCAGGAGCTTGGTGGAGCTGGGAAGGCACGGGAAGGTGTGGGATGTGTGTAACGGGAATGCCACAAATGTGTCTGTCTGCCCATTCTGCCCCAATCCTGCTGCTTCCAGTTCTCTTTCAGCATCCCTCGAAGGATGTCAGTGACAGCCCTGGGGCACACAGAGTCCTAGAGCAGGGCCAGGTGAATGAGCCTCCCCACAGCAGTGCAAACCCACTCAAAACTCCTGAAATGAATGCCTCATATTTTACTGAGGGGTCTGTGGCTCTGCTCCAGGTGTAAAACCCCAGGGCAGTGCAAAGGCTGGGGGTGAGGAGAGCCAGAGGGATGGAGAGGGACAATTATTTGGGAAAATTACCACCAAGGGCAGGATTTTTCTTGAGCAGGCGTCGCTGAGGCAAACCCTGTAGAAAACTGGAGGCCAGAATTTGGGAAGGATTTTTTTTTTTTGGTGATTTATGAAGTTGTTGGGGATGTTCACGGGGCTGTAGCCAGCTGAGGGAAGGGAAGCCCAGGAAAAGCTGGGACAGGCTCCAAGCAGTCAGAGATGGAGAGCAGCTCCCCGTGTGTCCTTCCCCTCCCCTTGGCCCTCAGGTGCCATCCAGGTGCTGCTGGGGCAGGACAGGTGGGGTTCACTCCCCGAGGAGGAGCAGCTCCCCTTGCGTGGCTGCAGAGGCAGGTGTGACACACACAAAGCACGCTCCATTGCAGAAGGTCCATACCTGTTTATTCCAGCATTGCACTGGCTTTTATACCCCCCCCACAATTTACACTTTCTTCATTGGTGACAATTCATTAACATAACCATCATTGGCAGAAATTTTTCCACCCCTATTCTTCTCAGGACCTTTTAAAAAATACTTTTCACAGCTGTGGGGGGTTTTTCTGGTTATTTTTTTTTTCCTCCTTCTTCTCTTCTTGGTCTCCAGGCCAACAGACTTGGTCAGAGAATATTTCTTGTTGCTGTAAGGCAACAGAGAGCAGAGAAAAAATACAGCAACACAGGCTTCATCCAGAAAGCAGAAGGGATTTATTGCAGGAGTAGGCACAATTTTATAGACTGGTTCTCTGAACCAAGGATAGAATAAGCTCCAATAAGAATAAAATAAATAAATAAATAGATAGAATAAGTCCAAGGAAGGCAGCACCTCTTGCAAACAGCTTTTACCAAAACATCACGTTCCTTACACACTGCCTGTGTTCACACCACCAGGTGCCAAACTTTGTTATTAATTCTTTCCCTTCTGTTTTCCTTTGGGCAGCTTGGGAAAACTCAAACTTCTTTTTTCCCCCCTGACTCCCGGCGGCACCCCCAACTTCCTAAAGCGAGCCTCATTCACTGACCCACAGAGCAGCCGTGGGTCCCGCTGTACCTTTGTGCTGTGTGTGTGTGTCCCCCCAGAGTGCTGTCCCCACACTTTTGGGGTCTCGCTGTACCTTTGTGCTGTGTGTGTGTGTCCCCCCAGAGTGCTGTCCCCACACTTTTGGGGTCCCGCTGCCCCAGGTCATCGCCAATGACCGCGCCTGCCGGCAGCTGCAGGAGGCCGTGGGCAGGAGCCGCCGCCTGTGCCTGGAGGTGGAGGCCACGGTCACGACATTCCGGGCTCAGAGGCACAGGAGGCTGGCACTGGGCACCGGCTGTGTCCGGGCAGCCGCCGAGGAGCCGCCCTCGCCCTCGCCCGCCCCGCCGGGCAGGAGCTGCCGGAGCCAGCGCAGGGTACGGACCCCAAAACGGGCTGGGCGTGGGATGGGGTGGCTGGGGGCAGCAGGAAATGGGGTTTTCCGGGAGCTGCTCTGAGCTGGTTGTGTCCCCGGGGAAATGGTGATGTCGCCGTTGCCCTCGGGGATGGAGAGGGGGGATCGTCACAGCGCAGCTCTCACGGCGCTGAGGTTACCAGGGGGACGTTTAAGGGTCCAGAGGGCAGGGATGGATGGGATTTTGGGCACCCCATCAGGGTGGGCAGGGCTGGCACAGGTGCCCAGAGCAGCTGTGGCTGCCCCTGGATCCCTGGCAGTGTCCAAGGCCAGGCTGGACATTGGGGTTGGAGCATCCTGGGACCCTGGAAGGTGTCCCTGCCCATCCAGGGGTGGCACTGGGTGCTGCCCTTTCCCAGACACGCGTGAGCTCAGGGCAGTGACGGGTCTGTGGGGTCACTCCTGCCACCCCTGCTCCACCACAGGGCGCCCTGTCCGTGGATTCCATCACGGACCTGGGTGACAACACGTCCAAGCTGCTGGAAGCCCTGCAGCTCTCCCACCCCCAGGAGCTGGAGCCTCGCAGGAGCCGGGGCAAGAAGAGACCCCTGAGCCTGAACCCCATCAGCTGGCAGGTGCCTCGGGTCGTGGACAGGTGCTGCACACACCTTGAGATGCACGGTAAGGGCAGGAGAAGCTCCCTGTGTGTGCCACCAGGACACCCTGGCCAGGTTCAGGGCACATCGAGGCATCACCCCAAGGCTGGGCTCCGTGGTCCTGGAGGTGTTTCCCAACCTGGACGGTTCTGTGGGTCCCGGGGCAGGGATCTCCCGAAAATCCTCCTCTGGAGAGTCCCCTGGGCTGGATGCAGCACCAGAGGGGAATGTCACCGTGAGGGAATGTCACCGTGAGTGTCAGTGACCATCTCCTGGTGCTCAACTGCTGCACACCCAGCCCTCACTACAGGGACTGCAGGGATGGGATAACAATGGGATAACGGGATAATGGGATGGGATCTCCTCCCCACAGACAACCCAGGAAACCTCATGGCTCCACAGCCTTTCCTCTCCCTCACTGCCTGGAGAAGGGAAAGCCATGCAGGAACAGCCCTGCCACGGTGCTGGGGGCTCCCAGGAGCACTGGGGGTGGCACTGGGGGTGGCACTGGGGGTGGCAGGAGCTGTGACAATGCCCAGCCCTGACCTGTGTGTCCCCCAGGGCTCCACACCGTCGGCATCTTCCGTGTTGGGAGCTCCAAGAAACGAGTCCAGCAGGTAAAGGGGGGCACTCACTGCATGCCCTGGCTGTGCCTTGTCGGGGACAGAGCTCGAGGGGATGGGTTGAGCTGACACTGGTGTGGAGAGGTCTGAAACACTCCAGAACTGACTGGGATCTTCATCCTTCTCCTTTCTTCCACCTCCAAGCTGAGGGAGGAGTTCGATCGAGGGCTGGATGTTTTCTTGGACGAGCATCAAAGCGTTCATGACGTGGCTGCCCTGCTCAAGGAGTTTCTCCGGGATCTGCCCGATTCCCTGATTCCCAGAGAGCTCTATGGAGCCTTCCTCAGCACAGCCCGTGAGTACCTGTGGGGCAGAGCCACGGCAGGATTGGTGCTGGGGACACCCTAAACCACAAGGATGCTCCAAGTCCTGTCCAGCCTGGCTTTGGGCACTGCCAGGAATGGATCCTTCCTCACCCTCCTTCTTTCCAAAGCCTCAGCACTGCCATGGGATGGGTGCTGTGCTCCCTGGCACTGCCACGTGCAGCTGCTGGAATCCCCGCGTTTGGGGGGGACTTTCTTTGCTTTCTTTTGGATTGCATTATGAAAATCCCGCAGTTTTTGGCTGTGGGGCTGTGCAGTATCCAACATCAGCACAGCCCTGGCTGGGTTTTCCGTGCCATGGGATGAAGGGAGGGACAGCAGAGCTCACCCCCAGCACGTGGAGGAGGGATCCTCACCAAAAGCTGCTCTCCCCAGGCATGCAGGGGCCAGCCCAGCTGGAGACCCTGCAGCTGCTGCTGTTCCTGCTGCCCCCCTGCCACAGTGACACCCTGCTCCGCCTCCTGCGCTTCCTGGCCCAGGTGGCCCAACACGCTGAGAGCTCCTGGGACCCCCAGGGCCGCCAGGTAAGGCTGCTCCAGGTGAGCTGCTGGGGGAAAGGTGCTCAGGCTGCTGTGGCTGGGGCTGCTGCAAGCCTGGGTGAAAACAAACCCTTCACAGAGCCCTGGGGTCCGTGTGGCTGGGAAAGGTGGGGAGGTGAGGCAGGTGGGAATGGGGTGAGTGTGGGCTCCAGCACCTCAAACCCTTTGTGCTGGCCCTGCCACCAGCTCAGAGGGGACCGAAGTGGACCCAGGCCAGCATCTCACCCTTGTGTTCCTGCCCTGGGCTGGGTGAGGATACCCTGGCACATCCCATGTCACTGCACCCACAGCCCACAGGTTCCTCTTGTGCTTCCTTGCAGATTCCTGGCAATAAAATGACAGCGTCCAACCTGGCTACGGTCTTTGGTCCCAACATCTTGCAGAAGGAGAAGCCTGGAGAGAAAGATGCTGGTGCCCTGAACTTTGAGGACAGTGCTGCCATAATCCTGGTGCTGCAGAGGCTGATCGAGCACCACCACTCCCTGTTCATGGTACCTGGGGCTCCTCTGGACCCTCCTTCCCTCTGAGCTCCCCCGGGAGCAGCAGGGGAAGGATTTTGTCCCTGCCAGAGATGCACACCTTGGTCTGTGCCCATCCTCTCTCCCACAGGCAGCAGAGTCCCCTCAGCTCTATTGGGATGTGACATTTCAGGTCCCCAAAAAGCCTTATGGCAATTTTTGGGATCTGCAGGGAGCCAAAGCACTGGGGATAATGGGGGGAAAGCAGGGGCTGAGACCCCTGGGAGGGATGTGGGGTGTGACACCAACACTCCGGGTCAGTGACCACGTCCTGGGCATGGCTGTGTCTCCCCAGGTGTCCCCAGAAATGCAGTGTGACGTGCTGAGGAGGCTGTTCCAGACAGACCCCGATGTCATCGAGTACCTGCTGCGCAGGAAGTTCCCTGACACGCTGTGAGTGCCCCGGGGGCTCTGGGACAATGACAGCACACCCTGCTCATCCTCCAGGGGACAATGACACCACACCCTGCTCATTTCAGGGCACGGGGACATTTTGGGTGTCCCATCCAGGCTCACAACTGGAGCTCGTGCCCTTCCCTGAGGTTAGAGGTGAAGGGACCTCGTGTCCCCAGAGCTGGGTCTGTGGCACATGACACAGAGGAGGGTTTGCTCCCTGGGGCTGGGAATGGGATCCTGGAAGCAGGGGATGCTCAGGAGCCTTCAGGGGACTCTGCAGGAAACATGAATTGTCCTGTGGGAAGGGTTTTCCTGGACCACGGGCCACTCCCATACCAGTCTGGATGGGGCTTGGAGCAGCCTGGTCTCGGGGAAGATGGACTGGATGTTCCTCAAAGTCCCTTCCAACCCAAACCCAGGATTCTGTGATCCATGCTAGAGCTGCCTGTCTGTCCTCACATTCCTTTGGGACTGTCTGGAGGTGGCATCTTCGGGACCTGTGGGATCACTGCTTGGGCCCATTTGGGAGAGAAGCATTTGCAAGCATCATCTCTCTCTGTTTTTTTTTGGTTCCTTAGGAGCCCAGAGCGTGAGGATCCCAGGGAGGAGCAGGGTGTGTCCTCACTGCCGGGCTGGACACACAGCCTGGAGCGAGGCTCGGTCTCCTCGGAGCTGTTCAGCAACATCTCCTTCCTAAACCTGGACGTTGGCATCTAGAGAGCCCTGGCCTGACCCTCTGGCCAAGGCCAGGCAGCTTTTCCCAGCAAAACCCGGCCCTGGCTCACTCTGGGGGCAGAGCTGTGCCAGGCTGGCACCTCCCTGCAGCTCCGAGCACAGCCCTGCCCTGACCCTCCTTCTGCCAGCCCTGGAGCATCCCTCCTGGGAGGAGGGAGCTGGGACAGCTCAGCCTGGAGCAGAGACAGCCCAGAGGGACCTTATCCATGTGTCCAAAGCTTTTGTAAGGGACAGGAAAGGGGAACGGCTTCCCACTGCCAGAGGGCACAGCCAGACACAGAAATTCCGAGAAATTCCGAGAAATTCCCCCCTGAGACCACAGGGACACCTTCCACTGCACCAGGCTGCTCCAAACCCCATCCAGCCTGGCCTTGGACCTTTCCAGGGATGGGGCAGCCACAGCAGGGCACTTTTGAGGATAACTCAGTAATTCTGCAAACAATATCCCACATCCCAGCACAGCCAGTCCTGCTCTGAAGCCCCCCAGAGCCTCTCAGGTGCCCTGCCCAGGGCTGGGCTCTAATTTTGGAAATGTCCCTTCCCCGTGGATCGGTGCCGTGGGGATGGGTGGGGAAGCCTCTCGGGAGGAGCCTGGGCTGTGCGATAGCTGCAGACACCCCTGGCAGCTGATAAGCTCCAGAGGGCAGCAGAGCTGTTGAGTCTGGAGGAGAAGATAAATTTGGGACACCGTGGAAGGTTCCAGAGGCCACGGGAACACTCGAGTGACCGCTGTGAAACCACCAGTGTGTCCAGCCATGGCTCTGGGTGGGATTGTGCCTGCTGCAGGAGCAGCCCCCAGCCTTGCAAATTCCTTCCTGGGGTGGGGGAACGCTGGCACAGGGTGCCCAGAGCAGCTGTGGATCCCCTGGATCCCTGCAGGTGCCCAAGGCCAGGCTGGACGGGGTTTGGAGCAGCCTGGGACAGGGGAAGGTGTCCCTGCCATGGGAGGGGATGGAATGGGACGGGCTTTAAGGTCCCTTTTAGCTCAAACCATTCTGTGATTCCGTGATTCCAGGATGTGACAGGGATGCTGACACTGGAGGCAGCTCTCTGCAGGAAATTCCTGCTGGATTTCCCTTTCCCAGCACCATGAGGGGGGCACAGGGAGCTCCCGGGGAAGCTCCAGCTTTCTCTGCCTACCCCAGAACCACAAAGGATGGTTATCCCTGGCGGTGTGGATGGGACATTGCTGGAAACTCCGCTTGAGGGCAGCCCAGGCTGTGCCTGCCACGGGAGCACCCGGGGCTGCCCTGGGGCTGTTCCATCCCAGCATCACCAAATAAACCCCGTCCCCAGGCAGCTGCAGACTCCCCATGGAGCCTTGGGGTGCTCTGGGGGGGCTGCCTGCCTTTTGTCCCGCTCCAGGTTCTGTTCTTGGTTCTGTTCTTGGTTCTGTTCTCGTGGGCTCTTTGCCCCTGCCAGCCTTGGGGTCACCCCACAAGCCATGGGGAAGGATCTGCCTGAATCCTTCCTGATCCCAGGGCTGGACAGGAGGGGTTGTTGCTGTTGGGGGTGTCTGTTTTAGGGGGGCTGGCTGTTTTTGGGGCAGGAATGGCTGTTTGGAGATGATGAATGTTTGGGGGAGCCTGCTTTGGGTGGGGTGGTGGCTCTCAGGAGCTGGTCACTGTTTTGGGGGTGGTCACTGCTGTTTGGGGTCGCTGGTTTTGGGGGCAGTTGCTGCTGGTTTTGGGGTGGTTCTGGTCCAGTCCCACCAAAGTCTCCTTGCACCAGTGCAGCCCAGCAGGGTTTGTCTGAGGGTACAACAGGGAATATCTGCAGGACTGGGATGAGCTGCTCGGGTTCAGAGTCAGCAGCAAAGAAAGCAGATCCCAAACTCCTTTTCAATCCCTGTATCTCTGACAGCATCCAGGGCAGGCCCAGACACAGAGCTCTGGGAAAACTATGGGAAGGAACTGTGGAACCACTGGAAAACCCCCCAAACCCACCAGTCCAACCATCCCAGCACTGCCGAGGCCACCCCAAGTGTCCCCAAGTGCCACATCCACAGGGACGGGCACTGCACCCTGCCCTGGGCAGCTGGGAATGGCCAGGAGGGAATTTTTCCTGATATCCACATTGACCCCAATATCCAGCCTGGCACTCCAGGCTGTCTGTCCCTTGTTCCCAGGGGTGATCCCGACCCCCGTGTCCCACCTCCTGTCGGGGATTTGTCGGGAGTGGGACCGGCCGGGGGGGTTTGGGGGGGTTTGTTTCTTTGGGAGTGTTTGTTTTGGGGTGTTTGGGGGCGTTTGGAGGGGTTGGTGTGTTTGGGGATTTTTTTGGGAGATGTTTGTTTGGGGGCGCTTGTTTGGGGCTGTTTGTTTTGGGGTATTTAGGGCTGTTTTTTGGGGGCTGTTTTTTTGGGGGTGCTTGGGGGTGACCCGGGACTCCCGACCGTTTTTGGGGGCGGAACCTCCCGGTGACCCCGCCCAGCCCCCGGTGAGCGGCCAAAAGCGGCGGGAGCGGAGCGGGAGGAGCCGAGCGGCCGGTGAGTGCCGAACTGAACCGAGCCGAACCGAGCCGAGCAGCCGGTGAGTGCCGGACTGAACCGAGCCGA